CGGGCCGCCCTCCCGCCCCTCACCCATGCGACTCGGGCCGCGGAGCTCCGCGGGGCTCGGCGGGGGCGCAGCCGCACGCCGGAGGGGCGCCCCGGCCCGCAGAGGGGCGGCGGCCGTGCGGAGGGGGCCCCGAGGCCGGCGGAGCGCAGCGCGGGCCCGCGGGCCTCCATGTGCGTGCTGGCGGCGGCGGGCGCGCTGAGCGCTCGCGCCCCGCACCCTCGAGGGCCGGCCGGGACGCGCGGGCGGGGACGGCCGGGCGGCGGTGGCGGCCGGAGCGGGCCCAGGCTGGCGTGAGCGCCGGGGAGCGCGTTGCCTGCATGCGCGCAGCCCTAGCCTGGGGCGGCCGAGGCGGCGGCGCCGGAGCCGGAGGCAAACGGACGCGGAGAGGAGCCCGGAGCGCGGGGGCGCCCCGGGACCCGTCTGGACCATTGTGACTGTCTAGAGCAGGGTCGGGTGCGCCGCAAAGACGTGGACCTGCCTCTTTGAATCTCCCGGCGTCTTGGCCGGAGGGGAGACTCTTGGTATTTTCTAAACCACCTCGTGGATTTGAACGTGGCTCCGCTCCGTGCGCGGCCGGCGACTTGTAGGACCCCAGCCCTGGCCGCGGCCGCCGCGCAAGCCCTCGGAAGACTCGGTGGGTGGGGACTCGGGATCTCCGTGTGAGCCACGGGAGGGCCGAAGGCTGCTCTGGAGAGGGGTCCTCGCAGAGGCAGTTTGGGATTTGCTGGGAAGCATGGAGGAGAATGATCCCAAGCCCAGCGAAGCGGTGGTAGCGGCAGAAGGGCAGCAGCAGGCGGAATCCAGCCCCGGCGGCGGCTCTGGCGGCGGCGGGGGCAGCAGCAGCCCGGCTGACTCGGACACCAGCCGCCGGCGAGCTCTGATGCTGCCCGCGGTCCTGCAGGCACCAGGCAACCACCAGCACCCGCACCGCATCACCAACTTCTTCATCGATAACATCCTTCGGCCTGAGTTCGGCCGGCGAAAGGACACGGGGTCGTGCTGTGCTAGCGCGGGTGGAGGAAGAAGTGGCGGAGCCGGCGGCGAAAGCGGCGCGATCGGTGCCGAGGGAGGCGGCGGCGCAGGCGGCGCGGAGCAGCTCCTGGGGGCGGGCGCCAGGGAGTCCCGGCAGAACCCGCCGTGCGCGCCCGGCGCGGGAGGGTCCTTACCCGCCGGCGGCGGCGACTCTCCGGGTGACGGGGAAGGCGGCTCCAAGACGCTCTCATTGCACGGTGGCGCTAAGAAAAGCAGCGACCCCGGAGGCCCCCTGGACGGGGCGCTCAAGGCCCGCAGCTTAGGCGGCGGCGACCTGTCTGTGAGCTCGGACTCGGATAGCTCGCAGGCCAGCGCCACCCTCGGCGCACAGCCCATGCTCTGGCCGGCCTGGGTCTACTGCACGCGTTATTCGGACCGGCCTTCTTCAGGTGAGCCCGGGGGACCCCGAGTCCGAGCCCGTTGTGGGGAGGCCTGGGGGACTGGAGGCGACGCTGGCCAGGGAACTTACTCCGAGGGAAGAAAAAAAATCACGCGTCCTTTTGCCCATACACACGCAAAAATGCACACTATACACATGCAGGGACACTGACGCTGGCCTACGCGGCGGCCGGGCAGCGGGCACAGCATTGATTCAGGGGGCACGGACTTCTTCAGGACAGCAGGGAAAGAGCCTCCTCTGTCTCTCTCGCCTCTCCCTCCCGTTTGAAGGCTTCTCCTTAGCGCCCCTAGACCCCGCACTACAGTGGTAGTTTATTTGGTGGGAACAGGAGTGACTGGAAGGAAGGCCTAGAAGGGCGCACTCTCAACCCTTTCATCTTTCTACTCAGTCCGGCCGGGAGGCGTGTGCCCGCAGTCCTAGATCGGTTATCCCAGATGTACTAGGGAAGAAAGAGCAAGACTCCACGTTCTGCCCTCCCTTGGCCTAGGCTGACCACCGGGGAGAGAGACTGAGGACGTGCAGAGAAGGGATAAAATCAGAGGCGTCCTTTCCCCCTTTGTCGCTTTATTTGCTGAACCACTGTGGGGGAGCTTCCTGCTGCAGCTACAGCTTGGAGAAGTCACCAACCGTCCCAGCACCTGCAGCTCCTCGAGTAGAAAGGACACTCCAGGGTTTCCTCACGGTGGGAAAGAGGCAGCGTTCGGAGAGGGTGTGCAGATGTTCTGGGCTTTTTTTTTTTTTTTAAACGATCGTGATTTTTTTTTTTTTCAAAGCACCCTGTTAGAAACCATCAGCTGCAGTCCATGCGGGGCTGCGACGGGAAAGCGCCATTAGGAGTGGACTCCATTTGTCCCTGAGCTGACAGTAGACTTCCTTTGCTCCCCAACCCTCAGCTGATTTACTCAGATCATAGTAGGACTGAGTCGCCCCGAAGCTGCCGAAGAAATGTATGTGTTTCTAGTGACATCCAAATTTCTCCAGCTAGACCTGAAATTTGCTCCATTGTTCTCTCCTCCCTCCTTTGTTAATATTTAATTAACATAGGCTCACAATGCCCAACGGCCGGGAGCCGAGGCCGGCTTTGTGCGGCGCTGGCGCGACAGTCCCAGCCGCGCCAAGCCCTGGCGGCGGAAGAGTCAGCAGCGCGGCTGGCCTGGTTGTCTCCCTGGCCTTCCAGGGCTTAAACAAACCCCTTCCCTGTAAGGAACGTTTCTTTGCGGGGCGTTAAGAAAGAGGACGGAGAGAGGGCTCTGGCATAGGTTTGTTTCCTTTTCCTGAATGTTTTCCTTTTGAAAGAAAATCGACAGAAAGGGGAACTAAAAGTAATTATTTCAAAGAGATTTTTCTTTTCATAAAGCAATGTCTTTTGAGGTTGGTTAGTGTAAGAAGAACGGGAACCCCAGGCCCGCAGGAGTTTGGGGGGGGAGGGCGCACAGAGAGCGTTCTTCTAGGGGGAGAGAGGGAGTGGAGACCAAGAACGCGCTCCGAGAGCGCAAGGCCGTGGTGGGTTGGGAGCCGGAGCTGGGCCGCTGGGGGACACTTTTCGTTTCACAGCCCAATCTCCTAGTCCCTCCGCGGGTCTCCCGGATTGGTTCTCTGCCCCAGAAGACACAGTCACTCCCATCTAAACCAGGCCAGCGTGCGTAGAGCCCGCGCACTCGTTCCTCCGCGTGTGCGCGAGAGGATTTACGTGGCGGGTGCGCGTGAGTGTGGGTGCGCTTTACAACTGAAAGAGTTTGATCTGAACCACCCCTGGCGCCCCCTCTCGCGTCCACAGGCCCTCTTTCCGGATTCGCTGATAGCTGAGAGCGTCCAGCTCTGTTGGCGGTGGCGGTGTTCTCTGCGCCCATCTGGGCCTCCCACTTGTCTCCTGATTCTTCCCTGGGCTTGGGCCTGGCACCCTTCCACTCCCCAACTGGAGAGGAGTGCAGCCCCCACCACCTCCCCAGAGATCCCTCATCCACGCCCTCGCTGAGCCGCGTGGCCCGGCAGTTTCTTGGCCCTGAAGGGGAGACGGGTCCAGCCCTCTCCAGTCTCTTCCGCTTTCAGCGGAAGGGGCATCCATGAAGGTGCAGCTCCGTGCCCCTAAAGTTGATTCCTACGCCTCACAAATAGAGACCTTGTGGGCCTGTCCCCCACTTCTGTGAACCTCCTAGGGTTGAGCTTCTCACACCGAAGGAAAGAGCCCGCTTGCACTCTTTCCCTTGCCCTTGTCACTCTGCGCTTTCCCCTGGATGACCGGGTTTGGGTCCTTAACACCTCCCACTACCCCTGCTCCAAACGACAGGCTCCATGGAGAGGAGGGGGTGGGGTCAAAAATATTAATCTTTTGTGCAGAAGCAATGGGAGAGGGTTTGTGTACCTGCCCATGGTCAGCTGGACCGCCTGCGTTTTCCAGCGAGGACAAGCTGTGTCAGCACCCACGCATGGATGAGGCCTTTCTCCTGGATGGGGAGGGGAGACTGGCAGTGGATGAGGTAGAGAGTTGCTAGAAGCTGTGTTCCTACCCCGCCCGAAAGAGGGGTGCCCGTTCCCTCCGGTCCTTCTGGAGCCCGAGCGGAGTCAGGAGAGGGCTGGGGGAGGCTAACGCTCCAGCCCCAACTGTTTTGCGTCCTCCAAACCCTGGCAGCCCCTGGGGTGCTCCCCAGAATGAGGACCAGTGCTTCTCCCGTTTCCCTAACTGCCCCGCCCCTCCCTCCAGGCTCTCCTCTCATGTCTCCCCTAGCACCTACCCGACCTTTTATTCCCAGACAGGGCCTCAGAAAGGGGGGGGGGGCGGAAACAGGCCAGAAAGTTTTGTGTTTGGGCATTCCTCTGGGAGTTTTGCTTTTATCTAGAGACTCCTGGTTTGTGGCCCTTCCACCTAGACTGACCCCCTACTTCATTTCCACAACACACTCAGGCTTCCCTGCCCTGTCCTTTCGGCCTTGTGTGACCTTGGGCGAGTCACTTCCCTTCTGGGAGTCTCCGCATCTGTGCCGGCATGAGCTGGGTGACTCCTCTCTGGGCTAGGAGGTAGGCTCCAGCTGGGGGATATCCTCACTTTTTTTCTGCCTTCCACGTCCACCCAGGTCCCAGGTCTCGAAAACCAAAGAAGAAAAATCCTAACAAAGAGGACAAGCGGCCACGCACCGCCTTCACCGCGGAGCAACTGCAGCGTCTCAAGGCCGAATTCCAGACCAACAGGTACCTGACGGAGCAGCGGCGTCAGAGCCTAGCGCAGGAGCTCAGCCTCAACGAGTCGCAGATCAAGATCTGGTTCCAGAATAAGCGTGCCAAGATCAAGAAGGCCACAGGCAACAAGAACACGCTGGCGGTGCACCTCATGGCGCAGGGCCTGTACAACCACTCCACCACCGCCAAAGAGGGCAAGTCGGACAGCGAGTAGGGCGGCGGGCGGGCGCCCAGGCCAGGTCTCAGTCCGCGCGAAACAATGCAATAATTTAATATCGTAAAGGGCCAGTGTATAAAGATTATACCAGCATTATTAGTGAAAATATCGTGTGTTAGCGATCGTTCTGCAATATTCTATGTATATATAATTTACAGGTGGTGTCAAATTCGAAATATCTGACTATAAAATATTTTTGAGTTTTTTGTGTTTACGAGATTATGCTAATTTTATGATTTTTTTTTTTTTGCAAAAGGGACTACTTAGGGTTTCATCTTTTTTAATCCCCTAAACTCCATTATGGGACATAGGACATTTTTTTATTATTATTTCAAAAGAAGAAAAATTAAAAAAAAAACAACTTGCTAAAGTCCAAAGATTTTTATTGCTGCATTTCACACGACTGTGAACGGAATAAATAGCTCCTATTTGGTCTGAGTTCTGCCACTTTGTGTTGGCTTGGTGAACCCCAGAACCTGAGCCAGCGACCCCAAGGCTGTCTGGGCCTTCGGGAACTCAGGGGACCTGGCGGGGAGAGAGGACTCCCGGGTCCTTTGGATGAGTTCTGGGGGAAGGCCTTGAGAAGCATCCCCTTGGCTCACCAGGGCCTGCCCTGGGAAGTCGCCCTGGCCTGGGAAGTCGCCCTGGCCCTGGCCAGCTTCTTGGTCCCTCCTCACCGACCTCCCACCGTCTCTCTCCCTGCCTCCTCTGAGGCCCGGGCTGCGCCTCTGTGCGTACTTATGTCTGTGTCTGTGTCGCTGTCCCCTGTCCTGCCGCAGCCCCGCTGCGAGCAGTGGGCGCCATTTCTCCCGCACTGCCAGCCAAGCTTCGGGGCTGGGGCAAAGACTGCATTGCCCGCCACTGGGGCGCCCTCCTTCCTAGGCTTCGTCAGCCACGCCAGGCCCAGGGACTCCAAGGTCCGCCAGTGGGCAGGCAGAGGGACTTGGCATTGTCTTCCTTTCTTTTTTCTATTTCTTCCCTTTTTTTTTTTCCTTTTCGTTTTTAGGAGTGACCATTTTTGCTATAGAGAACATTCTTCCAAGATAAATGCGTGTGTGTATACGTATTTGTGTATGCACGTGCACACACCCCAGGCTTGTGTAGGGCCCCAGTTCTGGAACCTGTGGCTACCTTGACTTTAAAGAAACTCAGAACCCTCCGGGATGTAGAGGAAGGAAGAAAGTGTGTAAATAATCATGTCTCACTTTTTGTCTTTTCTTGTTTTTTTTTTAAAGAAAAATATACATTTTATTTTTTGAAGGTGTGGTACAGTGTAAATTAAATATATTCAATATATCCCCCCACCAAGTACATATATATATATATATATATATAAACAAACACATTATCTCTCTATATAACCCCACACTGTCTTCTGTTTAGTGTATGGGAAAAGGTGTCCAAGCGTCCACCTGGGGCCAGAAGAGGCAGCCGGAGGTTGTGCCCATGGCCGCCTGGGAGCCGGCTGCCTCCAGGGACTGAGGGTGGACCTCTCTTTGCCTTAAACTTTATTTCACTGCGATAAGAGTTTCACTTTGTACATAATAGTGGAAGCCTTTTTGAGGAAAGGAAAACTATAAAAACAAAGGTTGTAATTTAAGATTCTGTGAATAACCATCTGCTGCTTAGGAGATGCAATGAAACAACATGCCTTTTTAGCAGGAAGCGATTTTTTTCGTTTATAAAATGTGCATTTTACTGTTTCGGTATCATATTTATGAGAAATGAATGTTTCTATTTACAACTGTGGTTATCAAAATTGTGAACATTCTGACCCCTGCATTTTTGTGTGTTTAAATTCTTGAAAGTTACATTAAATAAAAAGAAACACCTCTTTATTATAAAATGTTGGCGGCCCTGGGTGGAATGACTTTTCTAGGCGTGTTTCTGCGTCCAGGAAGTACCCTCCCCCCATGCTGAGCTGCTTGGTCTTGGCCTTTGAGAGCAGGTGCGGGGAGGGGGAAGTTGGGGGGGGGAGCTACTTTTATAACAAGACATGGATATTCTAAAATGACAGTTTGAATATCTTGCACGCGAGCACAGAACAACCAAAATAACTTCTGTCCACATTTTGTCACCAGTAGAAATTGTTTGAAAATACGCTGCTATTCCTTTGACTGGATATTTTCAGTCATGTGAAGTCCAACAGGTCTCTTTCTTTCTAGGTGCTCATCGACTCTGCCCCTGAGCGCTGGGTAGAAGGACTCCACGTGAGTCAGACTAATCTTTTAAGTGCCACTTATGTTTACTTTTTGTTGTTTTTACTCCCCAAAGCTAAGGACATTCGACATTTCTAGCAACATTCCAAAGACGGACCGGCTTTGCCTTTCCTGACCCAGTTTTGATCTGAGGGCGCCTCGTGCTTTGCAGCCCACGCAGCCAACTGCTGTATAACCAAACTTTCTTGGCTTGAAATTTTTTCTTCTCCCAGAAATTCAGAGATCACCGAGGAGGATCATCTGTTGCGTTTTTCTGTTCAATGCCTGCCTCTGGGTCCTTTAGGGGCTTCACTGGCGGGCGGAGCAGTCGCTCCCAGGACTCCTTGCCAAGTCTCCAAGTCACGTGGATGGAGAGAGCTGAGGTCCACCGGAGGAGGGCCCGGTGTCCTTGCTGCACCCGTCCCAGGAGCACTCCAAGGTCACCGTTAAGGGGTCAGGATCACAGAAGCATTCCTCAGACCCCAACTTCTACACACCTCTGAGGGTTTTTTAGGTAAATAACAAAACAAAAATGACTAGCAGGACATTTATCACTATTGGCCTCCCTCTCGTTTTAATAAAAAGATAATATAGCAACATCAAGCAATCTTTTTTTTTAATTTTGTTTTCAAATCATAACACTGGAGAGGGTCGAGCTTTGTGAGGTGATGAGTCCCCCGTCTTCAGGGGCGTTCAAGCAGACACCAGGCTCACGGTGGCATTTAGTATGGGGTTTTTTGTTTTGTTTTTGTTTCTGATAGAGGACTGAACTGAGTGAGTCCTCAGATGCTTGAGGGTCTGTCTTGCTTCTGTGTCCATTACTTGTTTTGGTCAACAGTGACTAAGCCGCTAACTCACGACAATCGCCTTCTCTCACCAGGGGCTCAGGAGTGGAGATGGGCTTGACACTCCTTCTGGGGCCTGCAGGTCGCTGGTCCCGCCGGGGCATCCATGACGCTGTGTGCCTTGGATCTGGACCTAGTACGCAGACACCGAACATCGGTGGAGCCCCACTACTTGGGTTCTGGCTTATATGGTCACCCCGCAGGAGGAGGAATTCCCAAGAGTGCATAAGACCAAAGCTCATTTTCAAAGAAAGTCCTTGCTCCTCCAAGCTGAACGACCGCCTGCCTGCAGGCCTGGCGTGTCCCACCAGGTCAGGAGGAGCTGAGTTCACAATCCTCCACAACCCGACCGAGACCAGGCGAGAGCCTGGGAGGCCCGCCCAGGAGGACCAGCCTCGGCCCCTAGGCCAGAGCAAGCGAGCAAGCAAGGGCCCTTGCGGGTCTCAGCAGGGCTCCCGGGTCTCAGCGACCCATTCTCTAAGAAAGGGTCCCCCTCCCCACACTGCCTACAGGGGTCGGTTGAGTAAGGTCTGGCCCCCAGTTGGAGTCAGGGGGAGGGTCACCAAAGCCGGATCGTCAACAGTGTGGACCCGCCCTGCACTTTCTCCCAAAGAGGAAAGAAGGAGACTCATAGGTGACCCCAGCTTGATCACCAAGAGGGCTCTAGTCCTTTTGGGTTTTTTTTTTCCTTGAGTTAAGGACAAACCGATGGGGGGGGGGTGTCTTAGGCTACTAGACACAGGTGTGGCCAGTAAAGACTGCGCACCCAGCAAATACCCCATATTTGCACTATATATGCAAATACCCTCTCCGGGCCCGGAGGGCGGGCGGGAGGAAGCGTTTGTTCGCTAGGGATCTGCTGAAAGTTATTCTGTCTCCCGCTGGTTTAATATCCGACCTCCGAGATCTCCACTTGCCCGGGCAGCTCCTCAAGCGCCCCCGGAGGGTCCCGGTTCTGCCGAAAACTACAGCCTGCCAGGGGGAGCCGCCTCGAGCTGGGAGGTTAATAACGACTGAAGACAAAGGGCCACTGCGCAACCCCCAAGGAAGGAATCCGTCGAGCGTGACACAAATCACCCTCAGGGAAACTGATCTGCCCCCATCCCGACGCTCCTCTGCACGCACTCTATAGGTCCTGCGTCGGGCCTCGGGGCGGGAACCCCTTTCCGCACCTCTCAGCCCCATCTCGGCGGATGGCTAGGACCTCTCTAGGCCTCCAAGTAGGAAGCGAAGGGGGCGGTAGCCATGGAGGACACAGTTTTGGACCCTGGAACTTGGGGTTGGCCGGCTCCGGCTGGCGGGGGGAGCCCGCCACTGTACGTTTGTGAGCCATGCCCGTGCGCCTCGCTGATGCGCCAGGCCAACCCTAATTCATGTTTGTATTAATAATCTCAAATACCTCATTACACTTACGCTACCCGCCCCTGGAAAAGAAAAGGCCATTCTTGAAATCGCCCGAAACGTAATAACACTCATTAAAGTAGTTCCTAATTATGTGATTTAATCGAGCGTGGGAGCTCTCGCCCGAAAGGAAGACGATGATGGCGTTATTATTATTGTTATTGTCGGTGCTGGCCTCGTGCTAGCCGCTAGGATGACAGCCAGCTTTTCAGCTTGAGCCCAGTTCCCTCCGATGGCTTTGGGGGGAGTCCCACCATGAGGGCGGGTGTCCCGGGAGGGCCTACGGCCCTTCTCCCGCACCAGGCCTAGCGGTGTACAAGATGGTGGAGAGTAGGCTTTTCCCCAGGCCCTGGGGCCCTCTGTGTTCCCAACGGACGCTAGGGAGACTTTCTGAGAAGGCGAAACTCTGGGTCCAGGCCCCGGGACCCGCCCCATCGGCTGTCCCATCCCCTCCAGGACTGAGCCCTGCACATTGCCGGGAGCAGAGACAAAGAGTGGTCAAGATCTGCCTCCCGGGCTGCCTTTTCACCCCCTCTGCCTGGAAGGCGTCCCAGAGAGGCTCCCACCCCCAGCCCCTCTGAAGACCCCGGAGGGAAGAGCCA